AGCCACCCCCCCCTCCCCAGGGAAATCCCGCCTGGATGGAGAAGCTCCGCTGGAAAACGCGGATCCCCCGACTCGTGGGGTGGCTTTTCCCATGATTTCCTAGACTTCCAGCCCATGTCCCCCCGGTTTTCCCTTGGCTGGGCGGGGATGTCACCGTCCCCGAGCCCTGCCACCCCCACCGCACTCCCGATCGCCACCCGGGGTGCCCAGCCAAATCCTGGGGGTGAAACCTCCGCCCCGAACCCCTTCTCCCAGTGCCTGCAGCGGGGCATGGAGCTCCCCCCGTGAACCAGGGCACGGTCCCCCCAGCCGCAGGAGGAACAAGGAGGGGGGACCTCTTTATTAAAAAAAACCTATTAAAATCAACTATATTATCCTATTTTTTTTTTAATACGGAAGGGCTGCACCCCTGGGTCCTCAGAACTTTTATCCTTAGGACTTCTCTTGACCCTTAGGACTCTTCGTGTGCCCTGGCCCATCACCAGCACTGGGGTTTCCTTGTATTTTTCTTCTTCTGGACAGGAACCAAAAAAACCCAGCATTTTTTTGGCCTCCTGCGCTGATAACCCAAATTCATCTCCATGATGGAGCCTTCATTGGGAAAAAAAAAAGGAAAAACCCTAAACTCGTCTGGAGGGTGGCAAGAGCATCCCCCAGGCTGGAGAAGGGTCTCCCTCAGCTTTAACTTGTGAATGCTTTAGCAGCAACCACCTGGAGACCTTCTTGAGGTTTTAAACTGCAAGAGGGTAGGCTGAGATTGGTTTAAGAAAGAAATTCTTTACGATGAGGGTGGTGAGACAGTGGAGGAGGATGCCCAGAGTTGTGGATGTCCCATCCCTGGAAGTGTTCAAGGCCAGGTTGGACGAGGCTCGGAGCAACCTGAGTGGAAGATGTCCCTGCTCATGGCAGGGGGTTGGACGAGATGGTCTCTGAAGGTCTCTTCCAACCCAAACCATGCCATGATTCTGTGATTTGCATTTGCAGCTGTTCTGGTGGAGCCTCATCCAGCCAAGAGCAAGAATTCACCTTGATGACGTTTAATTTCTGGCACAAGGTCAGAGCCCCTCGCCCCACAGATGGCCATGTCCTTCAAGCTCTGCTCCTACACTTCCCAGGTTTAGGACCATGCACCTCCCTCCCGAGAAGCAGAAGAGCAGAAACATTGTTGGCAGGGACCTCCGAGGTCTCCAGTCCAACCTCCTGCATGGAGCAGGACCAACGCCAAAGTTCGATCAGGCTGCTTGGAGCAACCAGCTGAGTTTTGAAAGTGCCCATGGACAGACCTTAGCAGCTCTTGAGATGCTAGGAGAAATAATCTGAAATCTCCTCCAGCACCCACTTGGTCTCTTCTCCCAAGTAACAAGCGACAGGACAAGAGGAAATGGGCTCAAGTTGTGTCAGGGGAGGTTTAGATTGGATATTAGGAAAAATTTCTTCATGGCAAGGGTAGTCAAGCATTGGAACAGGCTGCCCAGAGAGGGGGTG